TGGGCTTAAGCAATTCTCTTGCCACAGCCTCCCAAGTAGCTGGGACTACAGGTGCCTGCCACAATGCCTACCTATTTTTGGTTGCAGTTGCCATTGCTTAGCAGTCCCAGGCTGGGTTTGAAGCTGCCACCCTTGGTGTATGTGGCTGGCGCCGTAACCACTGTGCTACGAGTGCCGAGCCTATTTTTCAAACTTTTTTTTACAGCAATTTTTGTGAAACCATGGGTAAGTCAAAAGTTCATGTTATTTTTGAACGTGAGTTCCATCATGGAACCAATGCAGCACCGACAGCTGGAAATAACCAGTAAAATGGGAAAAATGTGGCTAATGAGTCATTAAATATGAAATGTCCAATTTTGAATCAAAAGTTTAGTTGATGGTACATCACTGGTTGGAGAAGTTCTGTTCTGATGATTTTAATCTTGAAAATGAGCCATGTGAGGCTGAAGTGGAAGTCAGTCTATCTCAGCCAATGGGTCAATTAAATCAGCAACAAGGTTTGATGTTACTCTTCCAATAGTAATGGACCATTTGAAACAAATTGGCAAGGTAAAAAAGCTGGATAGATGGTTTCCGCATGGGTTTCACATAATTAAATGAGTGTTAGAAGAGAAATCATCTCAAAGCTGGCCTTTCTTTGCTGTCATGACATAAAGGCAAACCATCTCTACACTGTATTACATGTGATGAAAATTGGATTCTTTTTGACAATTGCAAGCATTTGGCACAACAGTTGGATAAAGGTGAAGGGCCAAAGCACAATCCAAAACTGAATATTCATCAAAAAAGCTAAGAGTGTCTATTTAGTGGTGCAGCACTGGTATTATCCACTGCATACAGCCTCATGAAACCTGGTCAGTCCATTATAGCAAATGACTACTCCAACCAATTGGATGAAATAATGAGAATGCTTGCGATTAAGCAGCCAAGATTAGTTAGTAGAGACAGGCCAGTCCTCTTGCAAGACAATGCTCGACCACATGTCACACAAAGAATGCTACTCAAACTATAAAAGCTGGACTTAGAAATTCTGTCCTCCACTGTATTCACCAGACCTTGCACCAACTGACTACTACTTCTTCCAGGCTGTGGACTACTTCTTACAAGGAAAAATATTCAATTCTCAACAAGTTGTGGAAAATACCTTTCGCAGTTTTACTCTCCTGGCTGCTGGTGCAAAAAAGCTACCCTTTAAGATGGCAAAACTATGTCTATAGTTAAGGCACATATTTTGATTAATTGTACTGCTCTTTTTGTTTTTGTGAGACAGAGTCTCCTTTGTGGCATCATAGCTCACAGAAACCTCAAACTCTTGGGCTTAAATGATTCTCTTGTCTCAGCCTCCCAAGTAGCTGGGACTAGAGGCTCCTACCACAGTGCCCAGCTATTTTTAGAGACGGGGTCTTGCTATTGTTCAGGCTGATGTACTGTTTCTTGTTTGTGATATAATAAACTAAATTTGATTTGAAATAGGACATTTCATATTTAATGTCTTTTCCAAATTGTCAAGAAGTAACGATCATAGCTAGGATTGAGATTCCTATTACCTGCTAGATACTTTTTTCTTAACTTTTTTTTACTTAATCCTTATGGAACCTTCCTCGAGGTATATAAATGATAACATCTCCATTTTGGAGATGAGGCTCCATGAAATTAAATTACTTGTCCAGGATCATAGGTTATAAGTGGTGAAGCCAGGTTTCAAGGTTTATAACCTTAGGATTATTTATGCTATCTGCTTATCACAACTTGGGTAAATGTATAGTCTTGTTTCTTGGTGTTACTATTTATACCAGTTAAGTAGCAAGTCAAGGCACCAATATTTGAGTTGCAAATATAAGATGTAACAAGTAAAATGCTACCTATGCTGGGTCTCTGTGGCCTTCTTCTCCCTTGGTATGTAGAAAACTGTATAATTCACTATAATTTGAGAAATAGATATTTTATTCCCTTCATGAAAAGTTACATAGAATTTACATTTAGCGGGCGGCGCCTGTGGCTCAAAGGAGTAGGGCACTGGCCCCATATTCCGGAGGTGGCAAGTTCAAACCTGGCCCCAGCCAAAAGGGGGAAAAAAATTTACATTTAGCATAAACCTCTCCAAAAGGTTTATGTCCAAAAGGTTTCACTACAGGAAATTTAATTATTGCCATGATTCTTAGGAGGAAAAATTTTAATAGCCAATAACTTTTTTTCTTTTTAGCATATTCCAAGCCCAGCTAAGAAAGTGCCAAGACTCCCTGCCACAGCAGCAGAGCCTGAAGCAGCTGTCATTAGTAATGGGGAACATTAAGATATTCTGTGGGGTGTAAGACTTAAGTGTGGGGGTGGGGCAAGGGTGGGGATATGGGAATGGTTGGAGGAATGGGATGTCTGGGGACAATTTTGTTGCTTAAATTTTTGTGTGACTGACATGGAGCCTGGGGAGCTATCGTGTTCTTGGGAAAGTCTTTCTCTCAATTTGCTGACATGCTTCCTGTTTGGTCTAGCCAATGCCATATGTGCTCGAATGATGATGTTAAGGGCTCTGTAAAATTTCATACCTCTCTGGCCATTTGTATGCATGAAGTTTAATTTTTAAACATGATATAATGAATTGTGTGGTTCTGTCAGAAGAAAACAGATTTATTAGTCTCCAATGTAGATTTTTTTAAACATGTAAGAATTTTATACTTACAAGATTGCTGAAAGTCCTGTGGTTCTTTAAAAACGTTTCTAGTTGGGGAATGTCTTAAAATGTGATATGTGCAGCCTTGTTTGAAAACATGAGCTTTTTCTAATGTTAATAAATCTTGAGGAAGAAGAGTTGGGGTAATAATATTGGTTCTGGAATCTAGAATGTTGCTTTAACTCTAGGCCAGCAGTGACAAAAATTTTTGTAATGACCTCTGAGCGGAGAGAGAGACACTACCATTGAGCAGGCTTCAGGGATAAAAAACGCAGTGCGTTGGGAGCTATGGCCATTGCTCTGGCTGTGCCTCTCATTCCTGGTAGATTGTACTGAACAACATTGAGACATTTTGAAGGTGTGTATGAGGAAGTTTGTTTTTGTAATTCTTCTTTGCACCTTATTTTAAAAGATAAATGAAACATTTTTCTGACTGCCTTTTTATAAATTTAAAATGGAAAGGAAAGATGGAGGAGGGCATTTATTAGGTTACTTCTGATGCTTCAGTGTTAATAAATTCAACTTACAGACAGGCAACCTGAATTCATGGTATAAAAGAGATCTTTTCCCCTTTGTGGGGGGTGGGGGGAGATAGATCTGTTCAATGAAAATGAGGATATACAACCCAAGTTTTTATACAGTCTAACTAGCCAGGGGGAGTAGTCCACTTCAAGACCTGGAAGTAAGATTTAGAAAGCATTTTCTCAGACTTTAACCTTAAAAAAAGAAAAAAGCCTGATACATGGGATGAATAATCAAATTGGTTAGACGGTTTTGTAGATCTTTTTGGTGCTGAACTATGATATGAGCCTTATAGATTGTAAAATAGAGATAGTTGGAACTAATGTACAGAACTAAGTTTTTTAAACTTCATTTGCAGTTAAATTCTGTGAAGTTTCAGTTATCTAAAATAAACATACACGAATATGAAATGTAATGTTTGCGATTGCAAGGTAATATGTAATGTAGTATGTGTAAGATACTTTTGTCTAATATTAACTAGCAGTAGTTTGACTTGTACAGTCATAATTTGTTAAAATGACTTCATTTTAACATCCACTGATGTAGATTAATAATGTAAGTTCCGATTTAAAGAATGGTGGGAAAATGGTGCATGTAATACTTTTCAAGTATTGAGAGTTTGGTATGATTTGAAGAGAGTAATTTAACTTTTGGATGCCAGGAAATGGGTTTTCTCAAAGTCCATTGCTGGCAATGGGCAGGCCAGGTAATACTGGCACAGAGCATTAACCATACACCTTATGAATGGTGAGGTGAATAACTTTGAAATAAAGTTTTAGAGAAATATTTCAGATATTTGAGTATTCTTTTTTCCTTTGTGAACACACAATTTAGGCAAGAACTCAGCTAATACTCCATTTTTAAATGTGGGCATTCATTTCATTTTAGTTCATTCCCTCATCATTCATCATTCCACAAATACTTGACAATGTAACATAAGCGAGACACTCTGATGATGCCAAAAATAAAAAATGTACAAGATATATGGTCTTGCCTGTAAGGAACTGTTTATCTAGTATGAATAGGAGCTATTCCTTCCTATGGAGGAATTTATACTGACAATTTCTATTCTTACATTTCAGACAAAAATATTAGTTCCTAAATTGAATTGTAAGCATGTATAAACCTTCCTATAATACATGATATCCAGCTCAGCACCTGTAGCTCAGTGGCTAGGGTGTTGGCCACATACACCGGAGCTGGCAGGTTCAAATCCAGCCTGGCCAGGCTTGCCAAACATTGATGACAACTACAACCAAAAAATAGCCAGGTGTTCTGGTGGGTGCCTATAGTCCCAGCTACTTGGGAGGCTGAGGCCAGACAATCATTTAAGCCCAAGAGTCTGAGGTTGCTGTGAGCTGTGATGCCATGGGACTCTACCCAGGGTGACAGCTTGAGACTCTGTCTCAAAACAAACAAACAAAAAAACACGATATCCATATAGTTTGTATGAGATTTAAAATAGACAATTACAAATATTTCTAAAGTGAGTTACTGTTTTCCTAGAAAAACCTAAGACTAAAGGTTGGCCATTTATTAGGTTACTTCTGCAAATAATAAAAGCAAAATTTATAGCAAATACAGATCTGCCTACTACCAGCTACCACCTAAGCTACCAGTCTAAGAGTCCTTCCTGTGTAGCTAGTGATCCCAATATTATATTGGCAGTAAGACTGGATTAGGTAGTCCCTTACAAGTCCTATTGACTCTTAGGATTCTATGACTTAGAAATTAAACTAGATGATACATTTTCTAATATTAATTAGCTCATACTTAAACATCATGTCATGTGTGGATTTGGTACTTAGTAATTATTTTTTAGGTCAATTAGAGGTCAGTGTTCTCTCTAAGGTTACTTTAACTTGCAGATTCTAGGATCCTAACAACTTTAAGTATTCTTTCCTCTCTCCTTTATGGAATGTGTGTTTTCTCTATTTGTGCACTTAACTTTTTCTCCTACTAGTGTTTTTACCCAGAATGGACCTAGAAAGGGTGAGATATTGGAGCAGGTTCATTTCCCAGGTGACAAAAACCTTATTGTTGTTTGTAATAGGCAGAATGATGCCCCCAAACCCTAACAAAGTTATCCATTTTTGAGATCTGTAAATATATTATGTTACATGTCAAAAGCAGATGTTATTAAGGTTAAGAACCTTGAGATGGGCTCGGCGCCTGTAGTTCATTGGGCACTGGCCACATACACCAGGGCTGGTGGGTTCAGACCTACCCCAGGCCTGCTAAACAACAATGACAACTACAACAACAACAACAAAAAATAGCTGGGCATTGTGGCAGGCCCCTGTAGACCCAGCTACTCAGGAGGCTGACACAAGAGAATCGCTTAAGCCCAAGAGTTAGAGGTTGCTGTGAGCTGTGACACCATGGCACTCTACCAAGGGTGACATAGTGAGACTCTGTCTCAAGGAAAAAAAATGAACCTTGAGATGGGTGGATTCTTAAAAGCAAAGAGTCTATCCTGACTGTTGGCAAGGGAGAGTGACTACAGAAGGTTGGTCAGGGAGAGTAACAATATTGCTGTCTCTGAAGATGAAAGAAGGGGGCCATGAAGCAATGAATATGGGCAACCTCTAGAAGCTGAACAAGGCAAGAAAGTGGATTCTCCTTTAGAGGTTCTAGAAAGGAACACAGTCCTGAAAACACCTCGATTTAGCCTGGGAGACCCATGTCAGACTTCTATCTTAGAGGACTAACAGATTTCTGTTTTTAAGTCACTGAGTTTGTGGTAATTGATTAGAACATAAAGAGAAAGCTGACACAGTGTTGGTGAGCAGGGTGGTGGTAACTGCAGCCAGCAGGGACAGCATGGTCACTGGTGAGACTGAGATGATCGTCTATAGGTGATGGATCCTCTGGTCCCCTTGCCTGGATGGGGCAGTTAGTCTCAGCTGTAGCTGCCATGTCAGATGTGTGTCTTTACTGCAAGCCTCTGACATTTGCTGTCAGCTATTGATTTGGCAAATGCATTTTTCTCAGGAGAATCAAAAGCCATTCACACTGCTCTGAGATGGACAGCAGTTCTTATTTACTCTATTGCCCCAAAGCAATGGTAAATCTACTCTATGTCATGCTATAGTCTAAAAGGACTTGATCATCTTGGTATTCTGCAGAACGTTATGCAATCCTACATTGTGGCTGCATGCCAGGCGGATTTGGCCGTCAGGCAGTGGCAAGTATTCCAGATGCCCTAGTGACATATGAGCCAGAGTGTGCATGGTAAACTCCATGAAGAAGCTGGGCCATGCTCAGATGTTCCTTCTTTAGTAATAAAGGACAACTTCTTGCACCTTCTACCTCATAGCACTAAATAGAGGCATAGGATTTATTAGGTCCCATTTATCAGGGGGTGCTAGTTTCAAGTGGATCCCACAAAAGAAAGGTCACAGCAATTTCAAGCTTTTAAGCAAACTGAGTTATTACACAGGCTGTCTACATGGCAGTTAGCAATACTGTGTGGAGTCCCTGGCAAGCCCCAGTAAAAGGTCAGAGCATGGCCCTTACTTTAGGATCAGGGAGTAAGGCCCCATGGCTTCTGCAACAGAGAACTAAGTACTCAGGCTCCTTGTGTGCTACTGGGCTCCAGTAGAGACTGAGTAGCTGATTATGGGATGCCAAGGGACTAAGCAAACAAGTGTCAGAGTATGGGCTGGACATTATCAGATCTGTGGAGTCATAAATTCAGACAGGCACAGCAGTAACTCATCCTTACTGGAACTGATACCAGGATGTGAGTGTGCTTTTCCCGCTGGCACTGTGTCTTCCAATAAAATGATGCTAAGACATGGAGAATCCCTGATTCACTGTCACAGTATCTCACATGGCATTGCCTCAAGGACTACATTTTTGATAGGAGGCGGGGCAATGGGCACATGAACACAGGATGCTCTCCTCTCACCATATACCTCATCATCTGAAGCTGTCAGCTAGGGCACCAGCTATGAGACAATAACCTGCAGGGTTGGGTCTGGCCTCCGGGATATGGTATACATGTTTTAACAATGATATATATCCCCTATCATTAAAACACACAGCTCTGGAAACCAATAAGTGGAAGTAGGTTGGCCCCTCTCACCCTCGCTATCAGTGACTCATTTGATCAATTTGTGCCTCTTTTTCCCATTGATACAGGATTCTCCCACTCGGGACTGCATAAGAATTCTCCCATTCTCTAGGCCCAGGTGAGCTCAGAAATCAGACTCTCCATTCCCAGGCACAAACAGGCTGCCTTTCCAGGCCACACCCTCTGGGCTCTAACAAGATCATGAACAAAGCAGCTTGAGACTTTTTGGGGTGGTACCACCTTGAGTAGGGAGCACACACCCCAATCCCTTCCCTGAGACATAACTGCAAAGACCTAATAACCTTGCCCCAGGGGAGGGACTGCATTCAACTTTGAAAGGTATTTTTCCACCTACCAAATCGTAGCCAAAATGTAATTCTCCAGACAATATATGCCCCTAGACAGAGGACTTGGAGAGACTCCGACTTGGGTCTTTCCCCTTTGCCAGAAGCACTGGTGCATTTTTACTGCTTTTGTATTCCTTTCTATCTAATAAAATCTTATCTTACCACTGGTCTGTGGTCCTTAGGTTCATTCTTTGAATCTCTGAGACCAAGAACCTACTGAAAAAGAAATTCTGCTAACACCACGACCTAGGCTAAGCTAGATTAGAGGCTTTAGTTCCCAGGTCTAGGGGATATGTTCAGCAGGGGACCAAATAACATTTCCAGTGAACTGGAATCTACACGTGTCACATAATCACTTTGGACTCCCTGTGCCAGTGGACAAGCAGGGAAAGGAAGAGGATATTACATTGGTGGCAATATTAACCCTGATGATCATACGGAGCTAAGGAGGTCTATGTCTAGTGCCCAAGAGATTCACTGGTCATCCCTTGGGTCCTTGAAATCATGGCAAACAGGTGGCAAACAGGTGACCAACAGCAATCACAGCAACTGAAGCCTCAGATCCTTCAATGATGAAGGGATGATAAAATGGGTGAGGGAGGAAGGGGAATGGGTCCAATTAAAACTTCAGTAATTGGCCATATCTTGGTGGGTCTCAAAGTCTGGCCCCTGACTAGCAGCAAAGTGCATGTACTTCTGGAGCAGCTCGTTCTACTCACCTGCTGCATTAAGTCCTTTCAGGTCCCACATGAAGGAGGGGACTTGACAAAGATGCATCTGAGGAGAGCACAGGGTCGGGGTGGGCAGCGTCCACCAGCTTCTATGCACCAGTTCAGAGCCCTTAGATCCCTTCAGCCACACTACTGTCTCCAGCCACAAATGCGACCATTTCCATGCACGTTTGGGCAGCTTCACGCAGGCCCTATCTGACCATACCTCGTCTCAGGCCAGTGCTATGTTCCTCTTTCTTCCTGCTCAAAGGTGCTCTGACACAAAGGCATGGGAAGCACAGAACCCACTGGGCACTCAGCACAATCCAGAAATGCAGGGCAGGTGACACTATGGGCCATCCTTGAACAACAGCAGACAGGAGCTTATGAATAAATGCTCTCCCCTATCATACCCTGGGCAGACTCTTCAGGTGTGTTTCTTAAGATTCCTCAGAGGATCCTGTAAAACTGAACACTGGTCACCTGTAGCACTGGCCAGCTGCTAATGTGTCTGTGTATTGGCTGTTTCCCCTGTCCCTCACCCCCATGCCCTGGGATCACTTCTCAAATAAACTCTATTTGGCAGCCTTTGCTTAGGCTGTGTTTGGGGGGGAACCCAGTCTGAAACTCCTAGCTGCCTGGAATGCTCTTGACATTTTGCAAGAGTCACTCCTGCTTCTCATTCAGCAATCAGGCAGACTTCTGCTCAAGTGGCCTTTCTTTG